GGCTGGCTCTGGAGGGTGACACAGGGACTCACTTGCCCGTGGCACCTGCCCAAAAGAATTAATCAGAGTCACTCGGCAGCTGCCTTGGAGGAGTCCCCACTGTGCCCCCTGCCAGCAGCTCCTCAGACAAAGGGACACTGTTTGGGCAATTTGCTGATGCCAAATGTGTTCATTACTTGTCTTCTCAGAAGTGTCTGGAAGGGCTGGGCAGCAGCCACGGGGATGATGCTCTCTGGCAATGTCTGATGTCCTGACAAGGGCAGAGAAAGCCCTGGGGAGCTGCTGCACAGTGAAGAGAGGAGACACAGGGAGTGCAGGGCCAGGATGATGGGACTGCTGGACTCACATCCCACAGGCGCTGAGCCCTCCTTCCCTCTTGCTGCCTGGCAGCAGGAGACTCACCATGGGATGTGTCCTGCACTGTGGGATGTCCCCTGTTCCAAGGGGAAGAGACAGCAGACCCTCCCCACCTCCCCTCCCTACACAGAACCTGGGCAAGAAAAGCACCTTCTGAGCAGGGAAGGGGCAGCAGAGCAGTGCATGTTCCTCACCTGCACCTTTTTATTCCAGTTTTCTTATCAGCCCTGGGCCCCGCAGATAACTGCACCCAGCAGCCAGGCAACAGTGTCCTGGCAGTTCTGTGGTGTTCTGGGAATTCTGGAGCCAATAAAAGCAGATAAATATAAGGATTCTCCCCAAGTGCTCGTTGCATCCAATTAAAAAGGAGGGCGTGAAGGCATCTCATGAATGCTCAGCATCAGCAGTTGTGCTTTGAAGCCTTCCCATCTTCTGCATGAATGGTTGGCTTGTGGTTGAGCAATTGGTGAAGCATCTGGAGGCCAGGACTCCCACCTCTGCTCTGGCCACATCTCTTTGTCCTCTCTGGCAAAGGAGATGGCATTTCCTTTGTCTGCCCAGGCCTTTGGGTGGGGACTGGAAGCAACTGGGATTCTTCACACAGGAAACTGTTGCTGCTCCAGTGTTTGCTTGTCAAAAAAGGTCCAAAAAAGGTGTCTCTGGGAGGGTGTGGAGGGGATAAGGGGATTAATCACTCCAGAATAACCCAGAGGTCTGGGCAGTAGCAAAGGCACGTCCAGCTCACGTCACAGCTGAGCTTCATTTGAAGCAGGAACTGGAATTTGCTCTTGTAGGTGTGTGATGAACGTCCCAACCACAGGCTGTTCCAGAAGGGACTGATGTGAAACATTCCAGAGACCTCAGTTATACTGAGGACACACTAAAAACCAACCCTCCATTTTTTCAGGGCTTCTTCTTTCTCCCTAAATAAAACTGATCTCTGTCCCTGTCTTGCCCTGGTTCTCTCCGCACCCCGGCAAAGGGGTGTCCCCTCAGCTGGGGACATCCCAGGGCCAAAGGCCAGGCAGGGGTGTGATGTGCAGGCCAGGGGAGTTCTCCCTCCTGATGCTCCCTGGTACCACAGACTCACCCAGTACTTCTGATCAAAGAGTGCAGGAGCTGAACTGGCAGTAAGTTGCTATTCCTGGAAAGTGGAATTGGTGCCAATATTCGGTTCTTTATGGAGCAAATTCCCACTTTCACATGGAAAATATGCCTCACCTGGAGAAAAATGTACAAGGGGTTTTCTGATCCCCCTGAACTTGTCCTGCTTTGCCATCTTTGAGGGCATTTTGTCTGGTGATTACACTCCAGCGTTTGCCCCTGCTGCACACCACGGTTCCCATCTCTGAGGTTCACCCATTCATTATCCTCCCTGCCTGGATCTGGGTTCTTGGGCACCTGGGGAGCTGTGATGTTGATCCCGCCCCTTATTTACCAGAGTTTTTGCCCCAGTGCAGCCTCCCATGTCTGCAGGGGAGCAGTGTCAAAGCAAAGGCCTTCAGTAAGTCCACCATGGCCTGTCCAGCCCCAGGAATCCAACGTGGAGCTGGGTGGGGAGTGCAGGAACCAACCCCAGCAGGGCCCAGGCAGAGCTCTGCTCATGGGCAGGACACCAGTTCTGGGGACTGAACACTCAGCTGGGTAAAGAGCCCAGGGACTGTAAATTTTAAGACAAGTTGGACCACCTCAGACTACTGAGAGAAGCCAGCAATAGCCCTAAATAACCCTGAAATAACCCTAAAATTTGCACTTTGGAAGGGATTCAATTCCAGCTACCACAAAACACAAAGAGCTGCAGAAATGTATAACATCCCAACAACAATGCATATACATTATAAAATAATGAGCTGATTTAAAAGAATACAAATGAAGCCTTTAAGAAAGTCTTTACTCCTTGCATGTTACTCCTCATTAAAGAAAGATATGTCAAAAGGCCACTGGTAATTGCTTTGTATCACTGTAGAAAATGCCAGTTCTCTGGTCACAGGCACCACTTGGGTAAAGAGCCCAAGGACTGCACATTTCTGAGACAAGTTGGACCATCTGAGACTTCTGAGAGAGGCCAACACTCGCTGGCTCTGTCTTTAGTTCTGCACCCTTCTTTTTTTTTTCAGGGGTCACTTATTGGCTGACAATTTTATCTTGGTCCCCACTGATCTGTTTGTCCCCTTGGAACCAGGCTCAGCAGCCAAAGGGACCTGCTGACAGATCCAGCTGTTTAAATTGGGGATGTCTCCAGGATGGCACTGCCAGGCTTTGTGAAAAGTGCAGGATTTTCCCCACCAGCCTCCCAAAATCCTGGCAGTGGAGCTCTGGTGCCCTCTGAGCAGTGCTGGGCTCAGGCACTGCCCCCACAGCACCCTTGGGCAGGACCCCAAGGGAGCAGAGAGGCCTGGGCTGAGTCCTCAGGGCAGCACATTCCTGGCTGGATCTCTGGCTGCTCCACTGCCTGATGGAGGAAGGGAATTCCACAGCTGCTGCTCCCATGGAAAATGCTCTTCCCCAGACACCACACCTCCAGCCCAGTTCTCCAGACACAAGGGGCTCGAGGGGGGTTGTTTCTGGGAAGGGCTGTGCATCTGCCTGTGGGAAACTTGGCTGCTGGGAAAAATCTCGAGTTAGGCAACCAAAAAATGGACCTTCTAGAGGTGCATGGGAATCTCAGCTGAGCCCTGGGTGCTGCTCCCCAGCCTTATCCAAGGTGCTCCGAGCTGACAGTGCATGAGCAGAGTCTCCAAAATAGCTCAGCTCAGCTCAGCTCAAATCAGGAGCTGGACTTTGCTGATCCTTATGGATCCCTCCCAACTCAGGGTATTTTGTGACTCTGATCCTGTGCTAGAGGAAGTTCAGTGTTAGTTCCTTTGAGCCAATGTTCTTCCCAGGCAGAATGTCTTCCAGCCTTGTACAGAATATAAACCCTTTGCATTTCAGGATATTCTGTGATCCTATAGGAAAAGGCTGTTGGTGCCCATGAAAATAAAAACAGATTAGTTGAATGAAACCTTTATCTTGGGGCTGAGCCTGTGCAGGGTTAAGGGTCAGACTCAATGATCCTTGTGGGTCCTTTCCAAATCAGCATATTCTGGGATTTTGGGATTCTGTGATAAATCCCCACGTGCCCTTTAACTCCTGACAAATGCAGAGCAACACACACTTGGTATTCAATCCTAGGGAAGTTTTTTAGTGAGAACAACGTGCTCTGGTACTGTAAAAGAATCACTCGAGTGATGTTAATGAACTGACAGATCAGAAATTGGAGCAAACAGAGGCTGAAAATGCTCACAAGGCTGCAACAGCTCTGCACGTTGTGTCAATCCAGACAGTTAACTGGAAGGAAGAATCCAATTTATTCTGAGGCCCAACATGATGAATAAGTCATTTCCCAGGATGGGAGCAAGGAGAGCTCCTCCAAACACACTGGACAATTCAGAGAGAGCCTGTTGGCATTGAGTAATAAGTGGAGAGAAAAAAAAAAAAAAAGAAGGAAAAAAAGATCAGCTTTGAGAGTGATTTTCTTGTCTCTTTTGAGCAATTTTGTTTTATCTCTACACTGCTTGTAGGGTAGCACCTTTTGGCTTCTCTTCTTTTCCATCCAGAAAGGTGTCAGTGCTAACAGGAAATGGGCCTGAGTCACTTTATACAGTGGGGGGGGGGTTGTGTCTCCTATCAAGAGGCACTTACAGCAATATTCTGTGAGAGGTGCCCACCAACATGCACATGGTGCATTCAGGATAGAGAATTTCCTTTGTGAATCCTCAGAGGGTGGACTTCTGCTTGATAAAATTTATATATTTTATATATAATATAGATAAATATATATAAAATAGATAAATAAATATATATAAAATAGATAAATATATACATAAGATATATAAATATATATATAAAATTTTATATATAAAATACTTTTAACCCTTAGTGTTTGTTGCCGTCAAACAGGTGGGAGAGAAAATGTCCCTGCTGACTTTAAACACCCCTGATCTGTGTCTGCACTGAGGTGTTTGAACCCCTGGGGGATCCTGTGATCCTGCCTTCTCAGAGCTCTGAGAAACAGTGACCTGCTCAAACCCCAGGGCTTGGCCCAGAGTGTGGATGAGGAGCCCACTGAGCATCACATGGGGTTTGTCACCATCATGTTCCCCTGAGGGGTCTGACACTCCCTCTGTGCTCTCTGCATCTTCCCCAGGAGGGTGGGGAGGCCCTGGCCCAGTTTGCCCAGAGAAGCTGTGGCTGCCCCATCCCTGGAAGTGTCCAAGGTCAGCTTGAAGCAACCTGGGCTGGTGGGAGGTGTCCCTGCCCATGGCAGGGGGTGGGACTGGATAAAGTTTAAGGTCTTTTCCAACCCAAACAATTCTGGGATTCCATGATCTTGCCTTGCCTTCTGCAGACAAAGGGAAATGTCCCAAATGTCCAAACACCCCTGGGCATTAGGTAGGTTTTGTCCTGGGTTGACCTTGTGCCTGAGGGTTGGGGCACCAGTCACTGGAGGGAGTGCAGAGGTCAGTTCATTGAAGAGTTAATGGCAAAGAAAGCCCAGTAACTCCTGGGCCAAAGCTTCACACCTCAGACTCTGGGAGCAGAGATGGGGCTGCTGAAGAGTGAATTAGGAGAGAGAAACACAACTAACCCTGATCCATTAGAGAAACACATGGAATGGTTTGCGTTGGAAAGACCTTAAACTTTATCCAGTTCCACCCCCTGCCATGGGCAGGGACACCTCCCACTAGTCCAGGTTGCTCCAAGCCCCGTCCAACCTGGCCTTGGACACTTTCAGGGATTCCAGGGGCAGCCACAGCTTCTGTGGGCAACCTGTGCCAGGGCCTCCCCACCCTCACAGGGAAGGATTTCTTCATGTCAGAAACAACACTGGGATTCCCTCTGAACTGGGAAGCAAATCCTGCCTTCCCCAGACCCTTACCAGGGCAGCTGCACATCCCACAGGGTAGGAGCTGCCTGCACAGGGTGCCTGGGACCTACTGAGTCCTTTCTTCAGCTTCCCAGCCAGGCAGAGCCTGTGCCAGCCCAGCAGGGCAGGCTGACCATGCCCGGCACACCTCAGACGTGATTTCAATGACTTGATCTTTTTTGTGTCACCGAAATTATGCCAACCAGCTTTTTGATGCCATTACTGTCTCTTCTGCTTCCCATCATGCCTGGAAATATCAGAACAACCAGAAGTGCAGTGAGGAGCAGAGTGGGCATGAACCAGGGCTTGTTAAACCACAGAGAGCTTCCCCTGCGTGGGGAAGGTGGGTGAGCTGCCATTTCAGCCCCTCTGCAGCTTTAGCCTGTTTCACACTTGTGAAAAGGAAATATTGAGTAATACCCAGGGGCAAACTGATGTTCATTCCCTGATGTTCATCCTTCCTGCTGCTCCTGCACACCTTGGTGTTCAAGCCTGGGAGAGAACACCCCACTGTGAGCACCAACAGGGAGCCCTGGCAGCACCCACTGTGCACAGACACGGTCACTCACACACTCAGGGGTGTTTTCACCAGATCCACCCTAAAAACTCAGTTTTCTGGGGCAAAACAAGCTTCAGTTCCTGTCTCTATGGTGCTCCTCGCCCCTGGTCATGCAATGAGAGCAAGAGCTGCTTTGATCTTTATCCCCTTCCCCCTTTATTGTCCTTCAGCCACACCAGCATTGCACTTATTGATTGATTATATAAAGCACCCTCAGCTTCAGGCATTATCTGCCCCCATTCTATTTTTAAAGCCAACCTCATCTTTATGGCTGATTTCTTGAACTCTCTGCTGTCAGACACGTGTGCATTTTGCAATTTGCATTGGGAGCTAAAGCCATTAACCCCTCTCCTGATGATCTCACAATTAACACTGAAGCACTCTGGGCAATATTTCAGTCTCAGCTCACATCAGAGACATGGGGCTGTTTTTCCCCACACCAGAATTAAACACACTGAGCACGTCAGCTGCTGGCAGCTCTCAGCAGCACCAAAGGGTTTAAAATAGTCATGAATATTTTTAAGCATTAGTACCAGCAATCTTTTGGGATGAAATGTTTTTTCCTGCACAAATGTAGGATCCTCCTGTAGGAACTTCCTACATGGAGCAGATTAGACTCCAAAGGAAGGACTTTTGCTGGAGTTCTCATGTAACAGGCTGCAAAATATCATTAGTCTTTAAAATAATGTGTAATAATGTCCTAATACAAAAGAGATTGTCACCAAGAATATGTGACACAGCTCTGGATGGCCATGAGATGGATAAAGGAGAATTAATTACCAGTTGGTCCTTGAGTGGATTCCAGTAACAGTTGATAAACTCACAGTGAGGGCACTGGCTTTTTTAAAGAGATACAGAAGGTTGAAAATTCAATTAGGAAGTTCTCTAAGAGGAGTTCACTGAACCCACCAAACCCCACAACTTCTCAGGCAAGAGTTTCTCAGTCAAGTGTTTCTTTTTGCAGAAACACTCATTTTGTCATTGGCATGGAGAAACCTGCACCTAGAGGCAGAGTAGATATTACTGATGGATGAAGGAGAAATAACAAGGAATATCTGTGGCATGATTTATATATTAAAAAATCAATGTCAAAGGAAGGTAAAAACAGTGGGAGAAAAAGCAATGCTTGAACCAAAAGCTAGAAATATATTCAGGTTTCAAAAGCATCTTCAGAATCAAGGAATGGAAAAGATTGACATCATTGACACAATTTGTAGGAAACAAACAAATTGAAATTACACTTTTTTTTTTCTCTTCAGATAAACAAAGTTTTCAGGTGCAATTTTTGGTCTAACAAGCCCAGAGCTGCTCTGACAAAGTTATTTTCCCAGGAAACACAAGACCAAGAGAAAGCCCCAGAAACAGCCAAGGAATTCCTGACCCACTTGGACATCAGACACTTTGTGTGGAGTCACCATCCCTGGAAGTGTTCAAAAAATGAGTGGATGTGGCTCCTTAGGGCAGGGTTAAGTGGTGACCCTGGTGTGGGGCTGGGTTGGTGGTTGGATCTTAAAGGTCTTTTCAACCTTATCAAGCGATTCCAGAGAGAGGCTTGAGAAAGCTCCTTGAAAATCAGGATTGATTGGGTCACAAAGGGTGGGTGCCTTCAACTGTGGGGAAACAACTTCCCAGGAGAGGAATCAGGTGTGAAAGTGGAAATAAGGGAAATGCAAATGAGCAGGAAACAAAAATTGTCAGGAATTGCTGAGCACGTGTGGATGAGGAGATTCCAGCAGCAATCCTGCAGGAAAGGCAGTGGACAGCCCCAGGAAGTGAAAGGGGTGTAATGTGACTGCAAAGACACTGCACATAAAGAGGAGAGGATGTGTGTGTGGGGTGGGGGCAGAGAGGGGGGAGAAAAGCCAACCTTCAGGGTAGCTGGAAGGTCATTGTTGGAGACACATCCCAGTGTCACAACCCAGCCCTGGGGGGACAGGGCAGGGAGAGACCTCCAGGATCCCCAGGACCCCTGGGCAGGTGTGTCCTGCAGGCCTGGATCAGCTTTGCTCGATTCAGGCTCCTCCAATTGCATTCCATCTAATTTCCCATTTATTGACAAACTTCACCACCGAGTCAGGGGAAGTTCTCATGGAATCCCAGACTGGTTTGGGCTGGAAGGGACCTTAAAGATCATCCACTTCCACCCCCTGCCATGGGCAGGGACACCTTCCACCAGCCCAGATTGCTCCAAGCCCTGTCCAACCTGGCCTTGGAAAGTTCTGCTCTTTCTCCCTGCCTGTTGTGTTTGAATCCTCCTGTCCTGGGGAGCTGGGAATGAAGGGGCAAAGTGTGGGTGTGGGGGCTGCTGTGCAGGGGAAGTGGGGAAGAAAAGTGAGTCTCAAAAGTGTCCTGTTTGGGGAGGTGGGTGGGGAAATAGATTTATTTTCAGGAAGGAATAATGTTTTTGTCTGGCATTACAGGAATATTTACAGGGAAAACTTGTAAGAGAGGTGTTATTTAGAGCTCTTGGTTCATACTGCCATTTTCACTCTGCACCAATCTGAAACAAAAAAACAAAAACAAAAACAAAACCAAACAAACAGACAAAAACAAAACAAACAAACAAACAAAGCCAACAACAGAAAAGGCGGAATTACTCTCTTTCTAAGAATGGCATTGTCAGAAGCAGGCACCTCACCCAGGGCTTTTGGAAACCCCATCTAGATGTGTCTCTGGTTGAGTCATGGGAACAGTCTTAACCAGCTGCATCGCTCTGTCCCCAGTCACAGAATCACAAAATATGCTGAGTTCTCTCTGTTACTGAATAGAAATCAGGGAAAAACTGTTCCCGAGTCCCTGTGGTCCCATCTGACACGGCCTGTTAGTGGTTTTGTGATCCCCTGACTCCCATTCTCACTTGCCCAGTGGCTCAGTGGGAGAGCTGGAGGGAACAGAGGGAAAACCCTCCTGGATCCAGCCTGGTTGTCCTTACAAACAATGCCCTTGTCAGTGAGTCTGCCCAGAGCTTGGGTGCACAATCAGGAGAAGACAATCCTTTATGAGCAGAACAATTGCCTTTGTCTGCAGGATGTCATCATTTGCCAGCAATATTTACAGCTGGAGAATGGGTGGGTTTGCACTCTGGGTTTTGTTGCAACATCATGTGCATCAAAAATATAAATAGATGGGGGGATGAGAGGAGATATGGATGAGTGCAGCAGGGACTGCTGAGGGATGGATTTAGAGCTGGGAGCCCCTGGAGGCAGACATGACAGAATGCCACAGGATCAGGAACATTGGAAAAGACCTCCAAGGTCATCAAGTCCAACCTTGGACCAAATTCCACCATGTCACTAAAATATATCACAAAGTGCCAAATCTACTCATTCTTTGAACACTTCCAGAGGTGGTGACTCCACCACAGCCTGTTCTGAAGCTTAACCACTCTTCCAGGGAACAAATTTTCCCTAATATCCAACCCAAACCTCCCCTGGTGGGCTCACAGGAGGCCCTCACATGTGGGAGACAAGGTGATGTTTTCATTCTCATTTCCCTGAGTGGTCTTTTTCAATTATTAAAATCTCTTGATCCTATTTGGAGACCACACTCTGATGCTGAAGAATTCCTCTCCTGAGCAAGCATGGAGTTGGCAGAGCCTGGTCCCAGCGTCACCTCCTGCTGCCGCTGGAGCAGAGGCTGGAGCAGGATGAGCAGGATCAGCAGGATGAACTCTGGCAGCTCCCACCTGCTGAGGAGGCTCCTGGGGGCTGCAGGCTGGGCAGGCTGAGCCCCTGCCAGGCTCAACTGCCTTCTTGGGGCACCTTCTGCTGAGCTGCCAGGTCAGATTTCGGTGAGACACAGGGATGTGAGTGCAGGAGGGAGCCTTGTCTGTAGGAACAACTCCTCAGGGAGCAGGGTTTGGGATCTCCAGGCCTGCTGCCCATCTGTTGGATAGGAACAACTCCCCCAGAGAGCAAGCACGGGCACCTCCCCGGAGCAGAGGCAGGAGCAGCTCTGGGCACACATGTTCCAGCAGCAGCACCAGGTCCTGCTGCAGTGGGGAAGGTGCCCACGAGCCAGGGGCTGGCAGGGAGCAGCACTAATGCCCGGGAATGTGGTGCTGTAGCCAGGAGGGAAGGTGCAGCAGCATTAGTTCAGTGAGAAGGTATGATTAAGTCACAGGGTTTTATGAGAAATGAGCAGAGCTCTGAGGGGTTGAGTCACGGCCCTGAGTGAAATATCTGAGCAGGGCAGAGATGGCAGGGCCTGGGCTCTGCAGAGAGAGAAAGGGGAACTGGAGCTGGAAAGGTGCCTGAGCTGAGGGCTG